AGGAGTCGCGGCAATAGAGGCAGCGCAACTAAAACGACATGTGAATAATCCCGCCCACTCTAAAGCGGTACTGAACTGCAGTGGAAATGCAAACCGAGCCGAGTCCTACCACGCAGTGGAAAAGTGCCATTATAGAACCTTATATTTGTGTTATTTACTAGACCTTTTTTTATTTTGATCTTAATAATCGTGTCCCGGGTTTGCTGACAGATCAGATCTTTATACATTCTCTATGTAGGCTTTTTAGCAGAGGATACGTGATTTGTGAATATATTTTGTGTTTGGTAAAGCAAAACCACGTTTTTTTTCCCACTGTTTGTAAGATGAAGACGACCTGTCAACATCTTCCAACCATCACGTTTCCACCATGTCAGTTTCCAAAAATAACTATAGTGTGTTGATAAAATACTGTATTAGTGCACAGCTCAAGGGCGGATTTTATGTTATTAAGGCCATCTGAGCTCTTGAGTATTCATTTTGAAAAGAGAGTATGTATTAATAGTGGTGATGGTTGAATTTCATGCCATAACTGAATTTGGAGTTCTTAATAGGCCACATTCATTTAGACACAATTAATTGAAACGCCAAGGACCCAGGGCATCGTTTCCATAGAAACCGATTTTCTGCATCACCTCCTCTGTATAAATCCAAGGACAGTGATGGTGACCGCATTCTTCTGTCTTTTTGTCATCGTATCTGTTGCGTTATTATTATGCGTTCACACAGGTCGCACGCTTCAGACATTGTGCGAGTAACATCTCACATTAAAATATGACCTGAAGTATGTTGCGAATTTGAAGACATGGTTGCATTTTCTTAAAGTTACGCAGCTATCATAGCAAAGCGATGCAATGCCATGAACCTGAACAAATAAATCCTAAAAGTATGCACATTCCTTCAAGGAGAGAGGATGTTTTATGCTTACTCTGGTTTTAGCACTTCAGAGGTCCAAATCTGAGGCGTAGAATGGCTCTAAATCAAGAAAATGGACCCGCGCCACTGCGTGCACGAAAAAATAGCGCACATGTTTTGTTTGGTGTAAAGGAACACCGTGGCCTAGATGAAAATGCACTTAGCAAAATCTGCCTGAAAAAGGAACAGTCTGTTCAGCTGTGGATGAGCAAAAACATCCCCGGAGAGACACTGCGACGCTCCAAGTACATTTGCCTGAGGGATGGTCTTATCTGCCAAGACCTCCTGATAGACCATCAGGAGAAGCTTTGTATGGAGACTTTGGCCTTTGGGAGAGAGATGTCCAGTTTGGCTGAAGCTGTGATGTCCTTTTGTGACCATCATATGGTCCTGGTGTAGTTCAGTGGCACATGGTCTCGCTGACAGTGATGCTCAGGTGACCCTCTAAGTTAAATGAGTTGAGCTGATGTAGTCATCAGGCTGTAGTTGAAAAACTATGGCTCTGTTCCGAATCCTAGTGAGCTGCCTTGCTGCTATACTGTTTACACATGCATTTTTGAAATTTTATTTTAAACCAAATCCTATCATTCTTTCTTTTTTTCTTATTTATTTCTTTATGTATGTATGTGGGTCAAAGAAGTTAAGATGTCCGAGGAGTCGCGGCAATAGAGGCAGCGCAACTAAAACGACATGTGAATAATCCCGCCCACTCTAAAGCGGTACTGAACTGCAGTGGAAATGCAAACCGAGCCGAGTCCTACCACGCAGTGGAAAAGTGCCATTATAGAACCTTATATTTGTGTTATTTACTAGACCTTTTTTTATTTTGATCTTAATAATCGTGTCCCGGGTTTGCTGACAGATCAGATCTTTATACATTCTCTATGTAGGCTTTTTAGCAGAGGATACGTGATTTGTGAATATATTTTGAGTTTGGTAAAGCAAAACCACGTTTTTTTTCCCACTGTTTGTAAGATGAAGACGACCTGTCAACATCTTCCAACCATCACGTTTCCACCATGTCAGTTTCCAAAAATAACTATAGTGTGTTGATAAAATACTGTATTAGTGCACAGCTCAAGGGCGTATTTTATGTTATTAAGGCCATCTGAGCTCTTGAGTATTCATTTTGAAAAGAGAGTATGTATTAATAGTGGTGATGGTTGAATTTCATGCCATAACTGAATTTGGAGTTCTTAATAGGCCACATTCATTTAGACACAATTAATTGAAACGCCAAGGACCCAGGGCATCGTTTCCATAGAAACCGATTTTCTGCATCACCTCCTCTGTATAAATCCAAGGACAGTGATGGTGACCGCATTCTTCTGTCTTTTTGTCATCGTATCTGTTGCGTTATTATTATGCGTTCACACAGGTCGCACGCTTCAGACATTGTGCGAGTAACATCTCACATTAAAATATGACCTGAAGTATGTTGCGAATTTGAAGACATGGTTGCATTTTCTTAAAGTTACGCAGCTATCATAGCAAAGCGATGCAATGCCATGAACCTGAACAAATAAATCCTAAAAGTATGCACATTCCTTCAAGGAGAGAGGATGTTTTATGCTTACTCTGGTTTTAGCACTTCAGAGGTCCAAATCTGAGGCGTAGAATGGCTCTAAATCAAGAAAATGGACCCGCGCCACTGCGTGCACGAAAAAATAGCGCACATGTTTTGTTTGGTGTAAAGGAACACCGTGGCCTAGATGAAAATGCACTTAGCAAAATCTGCATGAAAAAGGAACAGTCTGTTCAGCTGTGGATGAGCAAAAACATCCCCGGAGAGACACTGCGACGCTCCAAGTACATTTGCCTGAGGGATGGTCTTATCTGCCAAGACCTCCTGATAGACCATCAGGAGAAGCTTTGTATGGAGACTTTGGCCTTTGGGAGAGAGATGTCCAGTTTGGCTGAAGCTGTGATGTCCTTTTGTGACCATCATATGGTCCTGGTGTAGTTCAGTGGCACATGGTCTCGCTGACAGTGATGCTCAGGTGACCCTCTAAGTTAAATGAGTTGAGCTGATGTAGTCATCAGGCTGTAGTTGAAAAACTATGGCTCTGTTCCGAATCCTAGTGAGCTGCCTTGCTGCTATACTGTTTACACATGCATTTTTGAAATTTTATTTTAAACCAAATCCTATCATTCTTTCTTTTTTTCTTATTTATTTCTTTATGTATGTATGTGGGTCAAAGAAGTTAAGATGTCCGCATCAAAAGAAATTTACAAAAGTGATTTATGACCATAGGAAGCACATGAAATGTAAGTAAAGTGTCTACTTTTAAGGTTTCAATTAAGTTTTTGGAGGATAAAATGTCAAAATTTGGTTGAAATAATGTTCCATTGTCATTCAGTGTAACACAATATTTATGTAAAAATTCAAACAACATGCTTATTCTGATGTGTACATATTAAAATATATCAAAGAATAAGGGAGCATATAAAATTTTATTGTGTTTTAAATGAGTAAAAAAGTCTTACTGACAAATGGGCAAAACCTAGGATAGTGACAAATTTTAAAAATTAAAAAATTACAACTAATTAGTATTTGGGGTGAAAGTAATTAGTCTTTTAATATGTCATACATTGATTTTTGTTGTATGCCTGATATGATTGTTACACTGAATGACATTTTATTGGGTCTCTTCTGTAAATCAGGGAAAAATGTATGATATTTATTTTTGCTCAGATAAACAAAAACAAAATTGCAATTAAATTAAACAGAAAACTTTTCAATTTTTTTTTGAGGGGGGGGGACAACAACAATTTTAAGCAGTATTACACTTATTGTTTTTATGCTTTTTAATATGTCATACATTGATTTTTGTTGTATGCCTGATATGATTGTTACACTGAATGACATTTTATTGGGTCTCTTCTGTAAATCAGGGAAAAATGTATGATATTTATTTTTGCTCAGATAAACAAAAACAAAATTGCAATTAAATTAAACAGAAAACTTTTCAATTTTTTTTTGAGGGGGGGGGGACAACAACAATTTAAAGCAGTATTACACTTATTGTTTTTATGCTTAAACCCTTTTTCGTCTTTGACCCATGTATGTATGTATTTATTTATTTATTATAATTTTTACTTTTCCAAGCAGGTAAGTCCAACATTTCAAGATAGTTATGCTCAAGATTTAGTCCAAAGACTCAGGCATTCAAAGCAAAGCCCATGAGGCTTGTTTTGTTTTATTTTATTTTATTTTAAATTAAACCCTATCATTCTTTCTTTCTTATTTATTTATTTAATTTATTTAATTAATTTTTTTTGCCAAGCAGGTAAGGCCAACATTTCAATATAATTATGGTAGAGATAAAAATTTTTAAACCAATTTTTAATAAAGTGAATTAGTGAATACTAATATTTTAAAAGAACAAGGCCATTATTTCATTCTAGGAGTCATTCAGTGTTAACTCGATGGTGCACATCCATTCACATACAGTATACACTGTTGCTTCTGGAAGTGTGAATGACCATACTTCATAATATCACCTCAGGTACTGCTCTGGACTGACTGCCTGTTCAGAAGGCCTCCTTTATTAATCGCAGAGAGAGTTTTCTAGAGCAGACCAGATTCAAACACACCAAAGTGCCTGAAGCCATCAAGGCATTAGTAATCCTTCAGTAAACAACCTGCACAGTTAGTCAGAATGCTCAATGATCTGTTACAGATAGTGTGTGACTTTTCTTTACACTGCCACAGACCATGTGACCCATTTGTTCCTATGGCCATCTGAAGCCCTGCGGCGGCGTGACACTTCTCTCTGTGAGAATGTGAGAGCCTGCCAACCTCTCCCGTGCGGCGCTGCTGGAGGGAGCTGTCTGCATGAGAAATATAGTGTCTGGCAGCATCCCGTCCAATCAATCAGTCAATGCAACAGTATCACTTTAGAGCCGTGATTAGCTCTCAGACTGTTGTGTTGGGTTGTGATTTTCCCCAGAGACTCGTATCGGTCAGAACCATACACATTTGATTCCACTCTATACTTATTGCTCCACAATGACAACAGCTGACCTCAAACTGAAAACTGACTCTACAAAATTCTATTTTTGGGCTATAGTTTGCTATTGCGACCTTGTAGTAGCTTTGTAGCTTTGTCGATGTAGCTCGTACATGCATTTTGTAATGAATCAAGTCCTAAAACTTTAGTATTTTTGAGGGGCTGTTCTGTGTTTTTTTTTTATTACTATTGAAATAAAGCTGAAATCATAAATATATGATGAGGAACTTGAAAATTAGAAATGTTGGCAACTAATTAACATAAAATGCGAAAATTAAGACAAACTGAAATAAAAAGTAAATTCAATTAAAATAAATTAAATATAAAAACTGAAAATGTAAAACTAACAGCTAATTAAAAATATTAATAAATGCTATAATAGTATGTATCTATTATTAAATAATTTTAACATAAAACAAATTTTTTTTTTTTTCATTAATTAAAAAAAAATAAAAAAACGTAAACAAAACGAGAAATTTTGAATCGGTAAATAACTGAAATAAAATCTAAATACTAAAATTAAAACAAACTGAAATAGAAATAAATTTAAATAGAAATATTTTATAGAAAAGCACATAAAATGACTAAAACTAAAACTGACAGAAAGTAATGCAAAAGTAACGTAATGCATTACTTTCCATAAAAAGTATAACTAAGACAATTAGTTACTATTTTATGGAGTAACGCAGTATTGTAATGCATTACTTTTAAAAGTAACTTTCCCCAGCACACGCTAGACGCTAAATCTTTGACTGTTGCAATTCATATCACAGTTTTACAGCATCTCATACTGTCAGCATCACATTTTTAAGATGCTGTATCACATTAAAAGAAGTGCCATTTTTAAAATGTCTAAGGCCCCGTCCCCACGGAGACATGTTTAGCTACACATACATTTTGTATCGTATAGGCATTTCGTCCACATGGATCCGGCGTTTTGGGAGAGTGAAACCGATATTTTTTGGAAAAAAAATTAAATATCTGAAACCGCCGTCCTTGCGTTTTCATGTGGACAGCGAATCCGTATATTTTCTGAAACGTTGACGTCATCAGCCCACGTCTCGCCAGTCAGACACCGCTACGTCACGTAACAGCAACAAAAACATGAACAAACACTGAACGATTGTCTTTTTATTAACTAACGTTAACACAGATTAATAAATGTATTGTTCCATGTTCGTTTGTATACCGCGGGCAAGGTTTATGCACATAGTCCAAGTCTTCTTCTCCATTTTTAGTGTATCTCTTTGGCAGAATTACAGCGCCACATACTGGTCTGGCACGTATACTACGTTTTGTGGTTTTGTGGTTTCGTGTGGACGCAGATATTTCTTGAGACGAGGGGAAAAAAAAGATTGGATAGGGAAAGCTCTGGCTTCGTGTGGACATGGCCTAAGAGAAGAAGCAGACTTAACAGAAGTCTCCATTTAATCTCATTGCTTTCTTCGAGAAAGAATTGATAGATTTCATATATGATTTATTTGGTGTGATTTCTCAATGTATTGGCAGGGGTTAAATGGGTGCACAGCTCACTGTTGTAGAGAGTGTAGTTATGATCTATACAGATACTACTCTTTCTCATGAAATATATCAGTCCCAAATATTACAGGATCCAAGATTACTAGATTACAGACAGCTTGATGTGGCTTGGCAGAATGGGTTGTTGGACAGGGCTGTATTTTGAAAAGGCTAATTGTAGTAATTGAAGAACGTCTTGTCAGAGCTCATCGATTTGTCGCATGTTTCTGTGGCTGTAATTGCATTGATGATGAAGAAGAGCAGACCTACGGCTACACGTGTATCATTTAGACACATTTATAACCATTAAGATTTCATTAGGATCCTTTGTCCAGGAAGTCATTTGTCTTTTCGCTTCACGGCTCGCTCACAGATGCTAATTTAATCTCTCTTTTTTTTGTCCTGCTGAAAAATAAAATAGACCTGCCTGTGTGGAATATAGAGCAGCATGCATTTCAGTGCTGAGTGAGTGAACTTAACAAATCAAATTCACTAAATGCTTCATGCATGAGATGCTCCTATCAGTTAGGATGAAATAGGTGAACTGCTGCAAGTTTTTAATGCTGTTTTAAGAACAGTTTGTGGGAAGTGTGTGAGTTGTGACTCTTAAATGAGTCACATTGAGCTGCTAGATAGCTCAGGTTCGTTCACAATGATGAGAGAAGCAGCTATACATGTATTTTCAGCATGGACTTTTTTTTATACCTGTGCATACTATGTATTTTAAATGCGGCTTATTCCATAAATATTGCTTTGTTAGCAACATGCTAACGTCAGACTCTTGTGGAGCAAGATTGCTTCCTATGCAGCATACTTGTGACAACCATTGTATAATTAGTTATTTAATTTAAATAATCAATGTAGTAATCTATAAACCACTCCATTTTCTGTTTATTTTCTTGTTTATCATTTTTTTTATTGTCAGTCATATGTGGTAGTTTGATGGCTGATTGTCAGAGTAAGTAGTGTACTGTTTACTGCATACTATGCATACTATTATAAAATCCTTGAAACAAAATACACTTGCTTTAGAAGTAACACTGCAGATACTGATAGATCTTTAAAAACAAGTCAGATGTGATTTCTTTATCTTAAGTGAAGTGAAGTGACATGTGGCCAAGTATGGTGACCCATACTCGGAATTAGTGCTCTGCATTTAACCCATCCAAAGTGCACACACACAGCAGTGAACACACATCCCGGAGGAGTGGTCAGCCATTGTTTTTGCTGCGGCACCCGGGGAGCAGTTGGGGGTTGGGCACCTCGGTCATGGTATTGAAGGTGGGAGAAAGCGCTGTACATTTACTCCCCCCACCTACAATCCCTGCCGGTACGAGACTCAAACCAGCAACCTTTGGGTTACGAGGCAGACTCTCTAACCATTAGGCCACGACTTAACTAGTTGTTGTTGCAAAGCCAAATTTCAAAGGACCGTAAGTTTGCATCATGAGTGTAAGCACTATTGAGAGAACTAGCGACAGTTAGTCCGTTCTATATTTTGTATATTATATATTGTTAGACTACTGAAACGGAACACATAGAACATCAGGCCCATCCCAAAACTTTACTGTGAAAGCATCTTAAGCTGATTGGAGGCCTAAACCCTTTAACCTTTGACCTTATTCTGAGCTGAATCTCCGCTCCCCTTCACCCTCCACTTTCCTAACTCTCTCCTTTCTCTCCTCCATCATCCATCCACCCTCAACTCTTCCCCTCCGCCGCTCCTCCTCCTCTCTTCACGTCTCTCCTCCACGGGCTGCCACTGACAGTGAATTTACGTCCAAAATGAAAAACAGGCAAGTGGGAACGGCGGCCGGGGGCAACATGACCAAGAGCACCAGCGTCGGTGGGGACATGTGCAGTCTGGAGAAGACCGACGGCAGCCAGTCGGACACGGCCGTGAGCCTGGTTGGAACCATTGACAAGAAACGGCGCTCCAGCATCGGCGCCAAGATGGCGGCGGTCGTGGGGTTAGGCCGAAAGAGCCGCAGCGCCTCGCAGCTCAGCCAGACAGGTAGGAGTCCAATAACGTCTGTCCATTTGCTGTTTGTCTCAAACTCAGCGTCTTTTATGTTCCTTTTGTCGTCTGTACAGTATGTTCTTCCCGACCCTTTAATGAACATACTTTTCTTGCATCAGCTCTAACAACCTAACAACTTTTATTTAAGCAGCCTGTTTCTCAAAAGTGTAAATTGGGTCGGAGCAGGACCGAGGACCGCCGAGTAATTGAGACCCTCTATTTCACACCATTCTTTCTTTCTGTTGCCATTGCTTTGAAGTGACAGAAGTGCACCAACTGTTTGCAGCTTTTTATTTCAGTCGAGTGTGCAATTAATGAATATCCAACTGCTTAAAGTTTGAATCATTGTTTTATTTGGGCTAAAGTAACGTGGTATTACCATATGTTTTGGACCTGTACTTTGGTCATGTTTTTGGGCATTTATCATTGCAATACATTGTTATTCTTTGAATACATGAAATATAATCATTTAGTACTATGGGATATGTCAAAATACCATGATATTACTATAGTACATGTTCAAAGACATGGTATTTGTAATACAGTAATATTAATGGGTCTTTTTGTTGATGATGTAAATAAAGTTTGAATATTTTTGTGCTGTGGTAGAGGGTTGTTGCATTATTATTATTTGGCATGTACACAAAGTAACATGGTATTACCATGATGTTTGGACATGTACTGTGGTAATTTCAGGTTTTTGGTCATTTATTGTTGCAATACTATGGAATTCTATGACTACATAAAATATAATCATTCAGTACCATGGTATATGTCCAAAAACATGACATTTGGGAATTTTATCATGGTAATTGCCAAGTTTTTTTTTTTTGATGATGTACATAAAGTTTGAATAATTTTGTGTTGTTTGTAGAGGATTGTTTCGTTATGATTACTTTATTTGAAAAGGCTCGTTGTTGGTGCATGGTTTTTGTTTGGGAGCAGATTTAAGGTGTTCATGTTTTCATTGCTGGTTGAAGCTGGTACTTTTTAGGTTCAAACCCTGGAAGGAGCCATCAATGAAGCATCACTGTTGCGCTCTTGATGATTTTTTTTATTCTCAGGTGTTGCAGTCTGAAGCATATCACACAGCAAACACATCCTCAACCCTTCTAGCACAGCATGCATTTACCCTTACAAAAGTAACTGAATACAATGATGCATTGATATATATATACCATGCTACTGAATTGCATTTATGTGGCACTCCAATATACTTCCAAGAATACCATAGTACTATTGTGGTGCACATCCAAACAATGCTTGAACCATGGCATGTTTTGGTACTTTTTTTGGTATGTTTATTCTCTTTTCACTATATACACTGTTCACACAAAAAGTATCATGGTATTACCTTTTTTTGGGGGAAATGTGCTGTGGAATTACTATGGTATACTTTGAAGTACCTTGATCTACAATGTAAATTCCATGTTGTATGAATATGATCATGCAGTATCATGGTGTATATGAAAATACCATAGTATCACTATAATACATGTATAAAATGTACCACGTTAATACTGTACACTTTTTCTTGTACATTTGCTTTGTAAATACTGTGGTATTCTGTGAAGTACCTTGTACTACCATGCAAACATCATATATTATAAAGCAAATTAATACTTTTATTCATCAGTGATGCATTAAATTGGTTTAAAGTGACATGCTATATTGCTATTACTGCTATTTTGGTAGTACACAGCAGTTCTTAGGCACCATTTCATTTATTTTATAGGTTACTGATTTCTCTTTACAGCATCTCTGCAAAGACTTTGTTTTCTCCCATATTCTGTCTGTCTAGAGTTTCCATGGTTTGCTGTAATTGAGGAGTGTGAGCGTATTTTCCAGTGTGGGCACGTTTACCTCATCTGTCGCAATCAATGAGCGGCTGGTAAAAACACTCTTTTAAAAATGTGGCTCTGTTTATCCAGAGGTCAGTGGATTTCTTTGCCGTCTGTAGCCCACACTCAGCCTCTAATCAGCTCATTGGCCAGAGCTGGCCAGCTGAAGTCTGAATGGTGACGTGCAGGTAGATCACATGCCATAAAGAAATGAACCCAGCCCATCAGACAGCTCGTGCTCAGCCTGCACGTGGCAGGTGGTCGGCAGTGTGTTTGTAATAAGTTGGGCTGGTTGCCAGGGGCCGTAGCACTTTGTCATGTCTCATGGGGGTGTGTTGTGTATTCTGCTTGTCTGTGATGTCTTTGAGCATCCTTCCATTAACACAGTCTCTGCTTGCAAAAAATGAGGAAGAACACAGACCACAGTTGGTCTTTTTTTTTAACTGGAGGAAATTTGGCAACCTAATTTTTCTGTTTTTTTTCTAAAGCTGATGTGTGCTATATTTTTCAATGCTAAAATGCTTTTTTCAAAATCTCTAAAATTAGTAAAAGTCATTATTGTGTTCATTACCATTAGAGCTGTTCTTACTGGCACAGTAAAAACAACGCTTCATGCCCAAAAGGTTACTGACCCCTGGTATATAGTATCCAAATTGTCCATTTAATTCATATGGAAAATCAGAATATTGGAAAAAACCATTTGTGCCTAAATCAGCACTTCCATTTTCTGTGTTCAAGAGAACAAAATTGTCACTTTCAGGGAAATTGGTACAAAATAAAAATGGAAATGAATATTGAATATTTAATCCACTGGGTAAAGTCACTTTAGTTTTTTTTTTCAATGTAATTAATTTATTGTTTGTTTCCCTATGTAGTATTTATAAGTGTTATTAATAGGAATTGGCTTTTATTTTTATATTTTCAGTATTCGTTTAAATCTTAGTGTTAGTAATTTTAGTACTTTTATTTTAGTTTGTTGCAAAGGTAAAATTTGCAATAAAGTTTTTCATCTAATATTGTATTTTATTTTATTTCACTTTTATTTCAATTAATGAAAACTATTTTAATGCTTAGTTAACAATAGAGCAGCATGTGAGATGCTATGTGATTACATTATTCTGATTTTTTTATTAAATGTAATTTATTTCTTGTTCAGTGGCAATGGTTGACAGATTTTTTTTTTTTTATTAATGTTAATAATAGCTTAGCTTTTATTTTTTATTTAATTTTTTTATTTTAATTTTAGTAATTTTGTAATGCACTTTTGTCATTTTTATTAGTTTTAGTTTTTTTAGAATTTCTTTTTAGCACAATTTTATTTATTTTCAATTTAGTTTTAGCCAAAACAACAATTAGTTTTTAAGCTGAAGTTTTTCATTATATATATATATATATATATATATATATATATATATATATATATATATATATATATATATATATACACATTTTTTAAATTTTATTCATATCTTGTTTGCATCTATAATTTTTTATGCAATGTGATATAATTTATACAACAGCTATACACCTGATATCTAACAAATGCTAGAGACAAAACAGACCAAGACAGATTTTCTTCCGTTTTGGAAAAAAATTAGAATCAAAGTCGACACTGAGAATTCCAACCGAACATGTGAGAAATGGATGTTCATTGTTGAGGTCCGGTGTGCTGTTTTATTTGGTGCTTTAGAGAGCCTCCTGTTCAGTGTCACACTCAATACAGCGGCACGCTTTCACCGACTACAGGAAATCAGGTCTGGCTGAGATCTGCAGCTCTGAACAACAACACCGGCTCACGAGATGTGAATCATAGAGCATATCAATTTTTCAGGCAGAGCGCGCGTGCAGGTGTTTGAAATCCCTGGCCTGTTTCTCAAAGCCGAGTCCGACTCTCCGACTGCTTCCTGCTCCACTTTGTTGTGCTTAATTCAGAAAGCCTGACAGCATCCTAGAGAGGGCATACTGCACAGATACATGCTTTAAAAAGAGGTTATTCTAGGCCTTCACTGGATAAAAAAAAAATGGTTTTGTGTGTTTGAAATGCGGTTGCACACACAGAACAGCTGAAGATCTCTTGAGACTGTTGTCTTCTATGTCTAGTTCACTTCTTTTTCACTATGAAGATTTATTTCATGGTGCATGCAGATTTAGACACACTGTAGAAAATGCATGTGTGCACTATTTTTGCTACTGGCATTTAATAATGCAATCATGTTTGCAGGGTATTTATTTATTTTTTTATTTTTTGAGGGGGCACCAGGGTCAGTAATTGTTACTTGATACCCAAGGCTGTTTGGAAAAAATCCAATGCTTATATTCAGAAATAGTGCAGTAAATTGATCATTACTCTTTCTTTGAACTTTCTGTTCATCAAAGAATCCTTAGAAATCCTGTAAATAATCCTGTATCACTTTTACACAAAAATACTAAGCAGCTCAACTGTTTTTAACATTGATAATAATAATAAGAAATGTTTCTTGAGCAGCAAATCACCATATTAGAATGATTTCTGAAGGAGCATGTGATACTGAAGACTGAAATTCAGCTTTGCCATAACATAAATAAATTACATTTAAAAATATATTCAAATAGCAAACAGTTATTTTAAATTGTAATAATATTTCACAATAATTCAGCTTTTAATGTATTTTTGATCAAATAAATACAGCTTCTGTGAGCACAAGACTCAAAACTTACTGACCCCAAACATTTGAATGGCAGTCTATATATAAATTATTGTTGTCTAACAGTCCAGTTAAAATGTCTCAAAATCCATAGAACAGTCAATGTTGATTTAATGTTGAGCTTGTCTGTGTGCAAGAATGGGCAAGAATGTGCAAGAATGGTGCTGTGCAGTGACATTCACATTAGTTATAGGTGTTTTGCGTCATACTAGCTGTTCCTGTTTTAGTGTATTTTAGTGTATCAGCATCCATGTCCATTTAGTATTTACATGGAATATTTTTCAGGTTACATTATTGTATCTCAGCACTGTGAGTGTCCATGGGAGACCACTGGAGTCCTGCGGACCTCTCTAATTAATCTTTGATGACAAGTTCTGCAGGAGAGAGCTTCATGGAGCTGAAGCCTCACGGTTTTATTCATGACCATGCTGAATTATCGCTCTGATTTATGGTGCCCGATTGTTCCTCT